ATTGGAGATTACTGGGTCTCGAATTCCAGGGTTTCTAAAGGGTTCCCTTTTTCCATGGAGGTTTATAACTCCCATGTAAATGGTGGAGTTAGGATTCTATTTAGGAGAAAGGGGACTGCTTCCGTGAAAACAAAAAGAAAAGAAAAGAAAAGAAAGGAGGAGAAGAAAAAGGAAAGAAAGGTAGGTGCCTTCTTCAAGTGAAGGAAGGAAAAAGGGAAGGGGAGAGCAGCCGAAGTTGCCTAGTCTGGAAGGAAGCAGCTGTGCTGTTGGTTTGAAGGAAGAAACGGCAGCTGCTAGTTGTTCGTTAGCCGGCGGAGTGGAATCAGCAAACAGCAGCAGCAGGTGATTACCTGCGCGTTTCCGTCGCTTCTCGGACCAAACAGCAGCAGCAGCAGGTGACTGCTTCCGTTTCCGTCGCTTCTCGGACCAAACAGCAGCAGCAGGTGACTGCGTGCGTTTCCGTCGCTTCTCGGACCAAACAGCAGCAGCAGGTGACTACCTGCGCGTTTCCGTCGCTCCTTAGACCGCCAACAGCAGGTGCTGTCTGCGCCGCACCAAACAGCAGCAGTAGCTGCTTTGTCGTGCTGTGTCCGTGACTGTCTGCACCGGACCAAACAGCAGCAGCAGTAGCTACTGTGTCACGCCGCGCTCTGCACGTGGCTGTTTCCGTACACAGCTGCTGTCTCCGGGCGTCTGCACGCGGCTGTTTCTGCACACAGCTGCTGTCCCGTGCCTTCTGCACGCGGTTGTTCCGTGCCCCTGCACGCGCCTGTTTCCGTGTCTCCAGCCGCGCCTGCACTGCGCTGTTGTGCCGCCCCGGGCAGTCTGAGCCGTCTCCTTTCCCCTCAAGCATGCTAAGTTGTTGCCTCTTGGAGTAGGATCAACCCTACTGTTTGGTCCTATTTGCAGCCATGTGTTAGTTCAAGAAGTGGATTTCTCCTAAATCCTACATTGTGAGTTCACTCCACACCTTTGAGTCTTTATACTTAGATTGATGTTGTGTCTTGTGTGCCTTTTTCTCTAGTGCCTAAGACTTCTTTTATGTTAGATGAATTAAAGACCTTGGATCAAAAGTGAATGAACTTAGGAGTCCCGTTGTCAACCTTAGCATGGGTTGTTAATGGCTTAAATTCACTAGAAGAATTATACAATACAAGTTTTATCTGCCTAAAAACTGTAGAGGCCCTTATAAATTATTACATGGAGTTACCCCTTTAGTTGTAAGGAAGTACTTTGTACCTTAGAAATTAATTGAGAATCTTATTGTCAATTACGCTTTCTTTTCTTATAAATAAGTTGTTGCCGGAAAGCATTTCTTCGGAGTGTAGCGCATTATGGGCTTGGAAGTCGATTTTTATAATTGATTTAATTGTTTTGTGAAGAGGTTGATGTGATTTGGATTTAGGCATTGTGATCATTATGTAACTTCCAAATCCATCTCCTCAATTCCACTCGGAAATAGGCATTGAGATCATTATGTAATTTCCGAGGAAAAGAGCTTAAGATCACGACCGGCTACATGACTGGTTAGGTTGATGTCAATGGTGTTAAGCCTGTAAGTGATGCTCTGTGACGTTGATCTATGACTTACTTTGTGTTCCATCACAATCAACGGTAAATCGGGTCTCCCCCGTCATCTTCGGATGCTTAGACTCTCCTATGTATTTCTTAAGCCTTACTTTCGTTTTACCGCTTAAAGTTACGATATCGTTATATATGTACATATAAACATATATGTACTTATACATTCTTTCTCGCATAAAAAGTTTTATAGTTACACTTATCCTATTGTTTGAACTCACTAGGCGTAAGCCTAACACTATCTTCAAATGATTTGCTTACCAGGTTCCTTTAGCGGCGGGGTGTCGAAGGGTTGAGAAGTGAGTAGTTCGTAAAAGTCATTTTTGTAGTCAAAGCACTTGGTGAAGCGAGCGTTGCTTATTGGTTGAGTTTCGTGTTTTGTTGGAGATGGTAGAAACACCCGATCATAATCTAGACATAGAGTTGCTTAGATTATTAGGTTGTTATTTATCGTCCTTTTCTTTGATTTGTAAACGCTTAACTACTTCCCTTGTTCGGTGATGTACTCATTTAACTTTTGAAAACTCTTGGTTGTTTGTTTTCTCTAGATAAGAGTATCCCCACCTTCGTTGTATTTTTTATTTGGGGTGTTTCACGCTCCTTAAGAGGAGTACAACTTACCACCCCCAGACGGATGGGCAAACAAAGGTGGTTAACCGTGGCTTGGAGACTTATCTGCGATGTTTTTCTTCCTCAAAACCAAAGCAATGGACACGTTGGTTACCATGGGCAGAATATTGGTATAACACTTCTTTCCATTCTTCGATTGGCACRACACCCTTCAAGGTGTTATACGGGCGGGATCCTCCAAGTATTTTGGGTTATGATCAGGGGGCGGCGACTACTTTTGAGGTGGACCGCTATTTACGGAACGGGATGAGGTGCTAACGGATCTTAAGGTACAGTTGCATCGGGCCCAGCAAATCATGAAGACTCATGCAGATGGCAAGCGGAGAGATGTTTGTTTTCAAGCGGGTGACCGGGTTTACTTGAAATTGAGGCCGTACAGACAGATTTCGGTGGCTCATCGGGCTAATATGAAGTTGGCTCCACGGTTTTACGGACCATTTGAAGTATTGGAAAGGGTGGGAGCGGTTGCCTATAAATTGAAACTGCCGCCATCGTTGACCATACATCCGGTGTTCCATGTGTCGCAGCTGAAAGCGGCGATAGGAGACCARCGGGTGGAACTGGAGCTGCCTGCAGGTCTAGATGAAGGTATGAAGATGGGTTGTCGTCCGGTGGATGTGCTCGGGACTCGTAAAGGTGATCAAGGCTTGGAAGTTCTGATTCAATGGGAGGGCTTAACGCGTGAGGAATCCACATGGGAGCTGATGGATCAGGTTGTAGAGTTGTTTCCTGCCTTTCACCTTGAGGACAAGGTGAATTTTCAGGGCGGGAGTAATGATACGTCTCAGCCCGACCCACACTAGGGTCGGATATATCAGCATCGCAAAAGAGAGGCAGGAAACAAGTAGAGGGGGTTGTTCGCAGTTTTCTTATTCTTAATTAATTGGTTAGGAAAGTTATTAATTAGTTACTTAGGATAAGTTTGTTTCCTATTTTTGAGGATTAGAGTACGGCTTATTTAAGGGACCGGCCACCCCATTGTTTTGATTCATTCTAGTATTTTGATTCTTGTCGTAGACATTGGAGATTACTGGGTCTCGAAWTYCAGGGTTTATTCTAATAAGCATCCGATTAGTAGTACTTTTGGCCGCTAATCTTAATTTTTGCCAATTGATTCATATCATAAACTTATTGCATTTTTCAGATGAAGGTCTTACAGTATTCCAATCTGGTTTCAACAAAAAGTTTCAAGTACTCACTGTAGTCTTGTCAATTTTGTTGGTCTTCCTGGGCATAGCAGTGTATGCTTGTTGCAAGAAAAAGAGGTCTTACATGAAAGGAAGAGGTAAAGCAAATGAGTCCATTCGGCTTTAACAAATGAAAAATGTGTTCAGAAAATGCAACACGAGCAGAAGAATACATTTTCTTTGTCGGTGTTTATAATAATTCAACATATCACTTTGTAGGTCTCAGGGTACACGCCATTGATAAACGTTATTCCGATGTAGAGAAGGAAGATCTACAGCTGAATTTTTTTAGTTTATCTCAAATAGGCAAGGCTACCAATAACTTCTCTATCAACAATAAACTTGGGGAAGGTGGCTTCGGTCCGGTTTATAAGGTAAGTAATTTCCTGCATAACTGTCTATGAATAAACGGCAAAGCTTGTATCATGAAGGCAATGAATAACATTGAACATATAATTTGCCTCTTGGTTTCATAAGAGTGGTTAAACATTAATTAAATATCTAAGATGCCACTCAATAAAGATTGGTTAAAGATTAGTTCAATAGAAAATTAAAGCTCATATTACCAATCACAATCTTTAGGGAGTATTGGAAAGCGGACAAGAAATCGCTGTGAAGCAGCTTTCAAAAACTTCGGAACAGGGGTACGATGAGTTCTACAATGAAGTTGTTTTTGTTGGCAGACTTCAGCATCGGAATCTTGTGAAGCTTCTTGGATATTGCATGGATGGAGATGAAAGGATCCTGATTTATGAATACATGTCTAACAAAAGCTTGGACTTATTCCTATTTGGTTCGCCTCTTTCTTCGTGCTTTTACTGCCCATTGTTATTTATCTCCATTCTCCATTTTGTGGGTTTCATATCAATTATGGGCACATAATCACTCTGTCCTTGCACCATATAGTACAAATTGGAAATGTCGAATGTTGAGCAGCATAAATGATGGTCATTTAAATTCCGACATTTCCATTTCATCTTATACATATGATGCAAGGTGAAATAAAGAGATGATTATGGGTCTCATTTACTTGATGCTAGAAGAATTGTGATGGTACCCGGAAATGAACATTAAAATAGAGGTACATGAAGTAAACGACTAGTTTGTTATCTGTGTATATATACTTATAGTAATGTTATGTTGGCAGATGAAACCAAAAGTTCAACGCTTGAATGGCCTCGGCGCTTCTGCATTATTCATGGGATTGCTAGAGGTGTTCTTTATCTCCATCAAGATTCCCGCTTCCGAATCATCCACAGAGACCTGAAAGCCGGCAATATTCTGCTGGATCACGACATGAACCCGAAAATTTCAGATTTTGGGCTTGCTAGAGAGTTTGGAGGAGACCAGATTGCAGCCAAGACGAAGAAAGTGGTTGGAACATAGTAAGTGTTCATAAACTATGGACCATAAGATTGTTGCTGATTATTGTTGCTCATTCTTTTTGGTTTTGTCGCAGTGGTTATATTTCACCCGAGTATGCAATTCACGGGCGTATATCTGTAAAATCAGATGTGTTCAGTTTTGGTGTTTTGGTTCTGGAGATAGTGAGTGGGAAGAAAAACAGAGAATTCTCTCGTGAAGATGTCAATGATAACCTTCTTGGATATGTAAGTAAATCTGGTGGCACAACCTTATTATTAGATTTATCTGTTTGCTGTTGTCTTATGAATTATGATCACCTTTTCCCATTAATTCTCACTTTCAAGTAAAAACCCGATATTTCTTGAAACGTTTGCCATTATGTTTGTGTTTCATTTTTAATCATGGATTTCGTTTTCACTCAGGCATGGAGACTCTACACAGAAAATAGGTGCCTCGAGCTCATGAGCCCATCTTTAGTCAACTCGTGCATTATCTCAGAGGTAACACGATCAATACATGTTGGGCTATTGTGTGTGCAAAACCGTGCACAAGATAGGCCAACTATGTCTTCCGTGGTTATGATGTTGAATGGTGACGGTGCATTGCCTCCACCTAAACAACCTGCTTTCTTTGCTGAAGAAATTTTGCCTAATCACTACCCCTATTCAACGGTTGATGAAGCCACTATAACGTTGGTAGTTCCTCGATAATAATTACATTATTTTGATTCCGAACGTATATATGTTTAGCCATCACATATTCTCAGATGCACCATTAATGGTTTTTATGTGTATTGTGTATCTTAAGGTTGTACGCTTTTGTGCAGTGTATCGTATTTCAGTATGCAGTTTTATATCATGGTGATTACAGTAGCTAGAAAACACACATGTATAACATGTCTATGGGCCAAGTTAAAAGGGAAAATTACAATAAAATGAAAAATTAAGGAACATCCTAATAATCATTCATTTGTACACTATGCACATGTGTATAACATGCACATGTGCATAGAAACCCGAAAACATTCAATTACTCGTATGCTCATGTATGTATATTGAATACTGTATAGATGAATGGTTATTAGGATGTTTCTTAGTTTTTCATTTATTTGGGGTTTTCCCTTAACGTCACTCACATATCTGTATACTTACATAATGTGCATGTCCATATAATCGCATCTAACGCATGGTCCTAAATAACTCATTTGCGTTATGGTGTCAAGGTATTTAATCTTGAATTTACACTCTTGATATCATTTTATGTAAGTTTTATATATTTGGTATCAAATAGTTCTTAGTTCTTTTTAGTTTTATTACTTTATATGGATTTAATTTGTTCGAAAGTATTATTCAAAATACTAACACATACAATGGTGGATGGGTGGGTATGTGCGTGTGTGTCGCCTTAGGACACGCCTTAATAAATGTCATAGCCTCGTTGTAACTCGTAAGGCTTGAATCTTGATCTCGTCGTCACGTCAAACCTCACGTCATTTAGAACCTGGATGATGCAAATAGACATTGTGTTTTTTCTACAACTTCTGTTTAATTTAGGATGTTGTACTGATGATGTAATATTTATAATAAAATAAGTCAAAACTCAAGTTGTTTTGGGGTTTTAATAAAAAAACATTCTGAACATCTTCGTCTTTATTTCATACGGATATTATATAATTGTGTTTAGATTTTACTGATATGAATCAAAGACAATTTGCTAATTATTTAATAGAAATTGGAAGACAATGCTTTTATGGAATATCTTATGAAAACAATGACCATTTGTTTCTAGAATATATATATATATATATATATATATATATATAATAATTACATGTATTTTTTTTCCTTATTATCATTACAAAAGAATATATGTATTTGTTTGAATATTTAAAAATGTTAGGAATAAAGGATTTGATATTGAAGGTGTTTGATGAAATGTTTCAATGAACCTTTTCCAATGGTTGGATCTTTCAATGTAAATTGTTGCTCAAGCTCAGCTCCTCTCGTGTTATGGCTCTTCATTGTATGGTTTTTATCTTAATGCAATTGAAATAGAATGAAAACGGAACCATATCAATCAAGAACACACGACAGTTTTTAATTATATTTGAACCTTGATCCAACTCTATCAATGATCCGGATGTGCTACGGACTCTTGCTCTGCCACCCGTTTCTGTGCAATGCTTGTTTGTGTTTTTTGAATGATTACTGTAATGACGTCATCTTTTGGTTTATACTAATTTTTTTATGCAAAATGAGAAGGCCTTGGTTTAATGGAGGTTGTTTTCAGAGTTGCAGCATCTTCTAGAGGTTGGAGTTGGAGTAGAAATGTGCAGCACATGATTCTTTTTCTAATTAAAACTTGCACCCATGTTTGAAGTAAGAAATAACTTTTCAACAGGACATATCACATCTATCTGACTAACTCCAATGGAAATTTCAAACTCTATTCCAAGGGCTGAAATTTTAGTCTTCTTGCAAATTCAACCAATTTAGCTATATATCCCAAGTCTTAGAACTCAAATCCACCAACAAACCAAAAAGTTATGAGAAATGAATGACAACTAAAATAGATTCATATTCAGAGAAGCAACGACACGTCAATGGAGGTTTTCACTGTACCTCTGTTCTTATCCAGTGTCTTATTCTTACTGCTCACAAGTTATGCTGCAGTGGACACCATAGCTCCAAATAAGACCATTGCTGAAGGTGACACTATAGTTTCAGCAGGTGATATGTTCGAATTTGGATTCTTTAGCCCCARAAACTCCAAGAATCGGTATTTGGGAATATGGTACAAGAACATATCACCTCAGACGGTTGTATGGGTTGCAAACTCAGAGATTCCAGTTACAAAATCCCCGGGCGTGCTTAGAATCAATAGGGATGGAATCCTGCAGCTTATAGATGCTGGCAGTAATCTAATCTGGTCTTCTAGTTACAGAGAACCTATCCGGAACGTTAATCCCCTAGCCCGCCTTCTGGATAATGGGAATCTTGTTGTGTGGGATAACGATAAAAATCTAATCTGGCAAAGTTTTGATTATCCTGGTGACACCTTGTTACCAGGAATGAAATTTGGAAAGGA